TGTAATAATTGTTGTTTTAAATTGTACTGTTGTATATATATTAAAACATATTTGTGTAAAAAATGAAGACGGTGTGTGTCAATCTTGTTGGCAAATAGTGTAAATCAACTAAAATATCACCTTCGGACTATTTCAAATTTGCAATACGTAACACTATTGCTTCTGCAAGCAGTACCATGTAACTTCTAATCTACTGGTGCCTAATTGGACTTGTCACTTAGTATATGTATGACCCTTGCCCTTTATTAAGAAGCTGTTTTGTGTAACTTATCTTTATGTATTAATAAAACATTTCACAGGATTTACTTATTATTGTTGGTAGTGAGATGGTAAAGTCTACTGTTGATGACTGAGTCATACATGGTGCAGAACAAGATCATCACAACTGCTTATCAAGCTAACCTAGCAAAGCAGAGAATTCATTATAAAATTGATGGGCATGCCTACAACCACTGTATTTATTGTTATGTTGAATATAGATCCATACGAATTTTAACAGTTACATTGAATAAGTAACACTGATGATGGTAAAATGCAGAGATGACAAAACTTTGGTAGAATAAAAAATGTTATTTACATCTTTGCATGAGGTTTGTATGGCCCAAGAAATAAATCATCATCATTCATATTATAACTATAAAGCCCCTTAATAAATAAAAACACAAAAGCTTACCCTGTGTTTCATCTTCCATAACTCTTTGTCTTTCTTCCCCAAATGCTTCCAACCATCTTGTTTTTTCCTCTGGTGTTTTAGTATAGAACATGAACCACTTGCCTCGTGAAGCACAGAAGATTTTCCATGCATTTTTTACTGTTATTCCAAACTGAACATCTAAATAAGAAATATCTTAGTTTAACAAGTATAAATGTTAGAGAAAAAATAATTTAAAATCAGAAGACAAATGGTAATATGGAAAATTATTTACTGACCAAAGAGAAGTTGTGTCATCCAAAGAATACAGCCAACCCCAATAAGATGTAAATATACAAATTTATTATATTCAATACTGAGATTCCTGAATAAGTTACGTATGAATTATAAATATTTTCTCAACAAAATAATGTTTAGTTTTGTGTTGTAACATGTTATGTTATAGTACATTCATCATTATTATAATACAAGTTTCATCAAGATTATTCCTTCATTCTGTAATACAGATTGTAAAAGTTCACTGAGGTTGCTTCCTAGCTTATGCATCTTACTCAGTTACCTGCATGAAATTCAAACAGCATTTACAGGCTAAGTGCTTTTACTTAGGGTTAGGAGCATGTTCAGCACCAACTGGTGGAGACTCTTTCTATTGTGCAAAAATAATATTGGAATAAAGTACTTTGAAATTTAAAATCAAAAGTATAGATTAAAAGGAATTTAGCAGACAATATAATACCATAAATACAAAGTTTGACCACTCACTATCAGTTATAACAATCGGGTCTTCTGGATATGTCAGGAAATGATATGATGTTAATAGATTGAAAACTCAGAAATATCTGTAGATTAACAGTATAAAATATTTATAAAAAACAACAGAAATTGTACTATATACAGATAACTTTAGATAGTCTTTGTGTTTCTTCCTGAAATATCATTTTGAAAGATATTAAATTCATATATTTATACTTATACACTACGCTTTCATTTGAGTTCTGTAAGGATTGATAGATGATTCACAGCTTTATTGAGAAGTAAGCTTTTTCTTTCAAAAAAACATATGTAATTAAAATTTGTTGTATTTTGTTTGTTTGTTATACTAGAAATATTTATTTTTTTTGGAAGTTCCACAATTTAACAGAAGAATTTTCTTAAATATCCATGACACCAACCATGTCTGTAGTTACATACTGCCATATAATTTGACTAAGGTAAAACAATCTTGTTGAGTCTTAAATTACTTTTGAAACAAACTTCACAAAAAACAACTTGTCACAATAATGAAGGATGTTTATAAAGTCTTACAACCCGATACTTTACATAAACAGAAACAAAACACGTCTCACCTTTGCCATCCTCAACATTAAATATACAGCATGAACTTAGATGTATCCTTCCTTTATATATATAGTTCTGTCTCTTTAAAAGGTCCTAAAAATGAGGAAGTGCAGTAGTCACATTAGTATCACTTTTAATGTCAATCACAATACTAAACAGCTCATGTGAGGGTTCTAAGGACAGAGACTAGTACTGCTACCAATTAATTCATCAACATTACTTTTAGAAAGATTTCTTAGTGTTTTCTTTACCATTGTCTAAACAGCTATCTTCAAATTTTGTAATAATTTCCTAAATGGAGCAAAGATCACATGTAAAGAGTTGCAATTACTTAATTCATTGACAAAAACTAATTTCAAGTACTGTAATCATGTTTTAGATACAGCAAAAACTAGTTCAAAGTGTTGTAATAATCTCCTACAAACATAGAAACTAAATGCAAAATATTTTGTAGTCTTCTACTGCCTATAACAGTATTTCAAATTTATTACAATACTTAGCTATTAATATAGTAAACCCTTATGTCAAACCCAGCATATTAACTACCCTACTATATACAGTAACAATTTGTATCTAATGTAAAAATCATTAGATGCAGTAAAATCTAGTGTCAAATGCAATTTGTCTAGAAAAATTAAAACTTGTTTCAAGATTAGTTATATTCTCTTAAATAAAACAGTAAAATTCGAGTATTTTAATTACGTCAGTGTCAAATATGATAACCATTTCTTAAGGACTATTATTTGCTATAAAGTACTCCAAATTTAGCCAAATGAGCAAGAGAGTTAAAATGAGTTTAATTTTTTTTTAATGCCACTATATACAATTTATGAATCAATTTCATTGAAAACTATTGCAAGTTACAAATTATTGAATATGACAAATTCAAGGTGGTAAGAGTTAGAGTCTGATTGAAACAGGTTGAGTCACATTTTGAGCAGGAAAAAATATCAGTAATGAGTATGAAACCCCCTATCATTAACACGTCTTTGAATTTGTGTGGTATACTTCCAATTGGCTAGAAGATGATGTTATGGGAGATCCTGTCCCACTCTTTAATGAGTGCAATGTCAAGCTATCTCATAACACTTGGTAGGTTAGGGCTTTGATCTTCATGACATCCAAGAAAAATCCTAAAGGTGTTTTATGGGATTTACATCAGCACTTTTTGTTTGCCAATCAATTATTTCTATAGTTTTTTGTTCAAGGTAGTCACCACAATTATGCCACTATGAAATTGGACATTATTGTGCATCAGAAGAAAGTCTGATTCAAATGTACCCATGAAAGGTCACATCACTAGGCCTAACACCACTTTTGGCCCTTGGAAACACAATAACGTATGTATATTCAATCAAATTTATGCCTTCTCATACCATACCTGATATGCTATTGAAACTGTCATATTCAACAATGCAGCACTTATTACTATTTCATCATCTCTGGCTTTTCATGTAGACTAACCTTTCAGCAGTTAGTAAAGCAATGTAATCTTAACTCGCAAGTGTCCAATGGCATTGCTGCCAATTCTTATAGCCTTGACAAAAGCTAAATGAGCACTGCAGTAAATCACAGAACTAAAGCATGTCATCTGGACTTTAAGGCAGACTAACAAAGTCTGTTCCTTACCACTTTGCTACTGATAACACTTCAGTTACTGTCCTACACTTCACAATGAGTCCATGGGCAGTAGAATGGCAATTATTTATAGCGACGTTGTGCAAATATTGGTCATAATATGGCATAGTTGACATTTTATGAACTTGTGTTGACTGTCTATTGTGAAGGTTAGTCATCTAATAGCTTGTCATCAATCTCCCCACTATGGACTGAGATAAACTAAAATTAAATGACACTTTTCAATGTGTTTTTATGGCTTCCAACATTTTGACAACTTTGATGGTATGTACTGCCATCAAAAAACTCTGCCTACAAGCAGATTAATACTGTCACTCAATTATAAAGAAACAATAACTAAACTTGAAGAATTCACCAACACAGCAAATCTGTATATAATCAAATCCAAGGCTGAAATGGCAGATACTGTGTTATCAGAGTCATTGTTTGGTTGCTGTTAATTTTGCACAAAGCTACACGAGGGTTATCTGTGCTAGCCATCCCTAATTTAGCAGTGAAAACTAGAGGGAAGGCAGCTAGTCATCACCACCCACTGCCAACTCTTGGGCTACTCATTTACCAACAAATATAGGGATTGACCATCACATTATAATGCCCCCACAGCTGAAAGGGCAAGTATGTTTGGTGGGGCAGGATTTGAAACTGCGATCCTCAGATTGCGGAGTCGAGCTCCCTAACCACCTGGCCATGCCAAGCCCATTTCCAACATATCTGCATTCTCATAGAAGGACACGTGTAATGTTTACTAAGAATATGAAATTCTGGAATTGCATCCAAGTTTAATGTTCCAAGCTGTATTACATTTTTGCAGTTTTACTTTTTTGATGCAGTACAGTTTCCATATCTTAGATGCAGAAACAACATATCATCATTTTTTCTTACACATAGTGACAAATAGTGTCACATGTAGGTATTTTCTGTTAAATACAATCACAGCAAATAGAAATAAGTAACATCAAAGTAGTAATATACCTTTAAGTATGTCAACAACAAACATCAAGAATTGTAATAAAGACTTAAATATAGCTTTCATGACTTGTAAGTTACCATAATTTTGATTTAGTTACTCAAAATGGAGTAATTTGCCTTAAGACAAAAACTACCAAGTGCTACAAAAAATGAAAAGACGGAAAAATACCTATGTGTTGTTGGTTATACAAAGAGTCTTTTAAATATTGTACAAACTTGTGTACATTAAAAATAAGCATAAAAATATGTCTTTGAATATCTAAACTACAACATATACAAGTTTTACTGCTGTTTTTATACAAAGATGGGTTTTTAAAAGCTAAACATACACTCCAGATTTATCACATGTTCTAGAAAGCTTATCTGGGCAAAATACATGAAAAGTTTTATAATATAGTATAAGCATTAAACAAAACATACAAAGCTAAACTCACCTTTTTACAGTAGACTAAAAGATGATCAAAAAGAAACAGTGTGTATTCTCGGGACCATCCAGAAAATGCCCTTACAACATCACCCGAGTGAATGAGGACAGAGCAAAAGTCTAATACATCTGGACCCTTTAAAAATAAACTAGAATTAAGTTAGTGAAACTTAGCTGTACATAAAAAGGAAACCAAACAACACATTTAAGAGCACCCAGTAAATTTCACTATCCTGTTCATAATAATGATATAATTAAGCAGGACAGACAGCATGACCAAAGTTTGTTGCTATTAAAAGCTTGTAGGCAAGTGGTTTGAACAATATTCTAATTAACCCTTTCACTGCACAATTAATTTTCAGGCTGATTACCAAAAAAGTGTCAATTATCCACCAAAAAATAAAAATATGAAATTGACCCTTTGTATTACTTTTTCAATATCTAAAGAAGCTGTATTTCTACATCTGACACTAATATTCTTTGAAAACTGTATTGAATAGTGAAAAATAATGATTTAAACAAAAAAATTGAGGAAAATTAGAAGATAAGAGTTCTCCAGTAAATACCATAAATATAGACAAAATTAAATCAATGAGAGGCCAAAATCATTACAAAATATAAAGCAAATTATTTAGATAGCAATATCCAAGATATAAAGAAGCTGTCTTTATATAGATTCTATGTGTGTTCCTGCAAAGTTGGCAATTTTGTAATGAGGCATCTAAACATCCAGGTTTCATGGCGTAGAACACAGATGGCAGTACACACACAGGTTTTGTGACTGTTTCAAGTACAGGGGATATTCCCGCATGTCACAGTAGAGGGAAAAATTTTTTGGTAGCCGTGAGGTAAGTCTGAATTTTCCAGTCAGTGGGTATAAACGTTTATGTGGATATATTGGAACTACACAGCAAAAGGGTTAACAGAGAAATTAATTAAAGTTTTTACTTGTTTGTTGTCATCAGGATATAACGAAAATCTATGAAACAAAATATTTTTTCATTCATGAAATAACACTGAAGCATAGTTAAGATCTGAAAAGTAATTATAAAGATGTGTAACAAAAATGGTTTGTTTGGTTTGTTATGAATTTCACGCTAAGCTACACGAGGGCTATCTGCACTAGCCATCCTTAATTTAGCAGTGTAAGACTTGAGGGAAGGCTGCTAGTCATCACCACCCACCACCAACTCTTGGGCTACTCTTTTACCAACGAATAGTGGGATTAACCATCACATTATAATGCCCCCGCGACTAAAAGGGCGAGCATGTTTGGTGTGATGGGGATTCGAACTCGCGACCCGCACATTGTGAGTCGAGTGCCCTAACCACCTGGCCATGCTGAGCCACAACAAAAATCAATCCTATAAAAATTTTATAAGTATTCCACTAAGAGCTTTTGTTTATCACTCAGTGTTTTACAATTGTTTTAAATAAGTTTTTGAAAACTCAGAAAATTGAAGCAAAAATACTTGCAACTTTTTAGAAGTTTAAAGTTCTATCTACAATCAGTGTTATATATTTTTAATCCTTTGAATATTGCATTTTATTGTTTGTACAATGTTTCATTTTTTACTGTTTATTAAATAAATAACTGAAAGTAGGCAAATCATAATCATGATTTTTTTCCTTCAAGTATATATATATTTTACCTCCCATCCATCAATAGTCTGCTGCCACTCCACTAGACGCTCCAAACACTCCATTCGACGTTTTCGTTCATTCACTAGCTGGGCTACTTCTTTCATAGCAGACAAGGCACTTGTGACTGGAATGTAGTCTGGATGATCGATGTCTGTGTATTTGAGCAGTTCGGCCAGCTGAAGTGGATACTTACAGATACGCTGAACAGGTGTTAGTAAGAAGCCATCCATGGAAATGTCTATCATTTGCTGTAGAAGTCGGCAAGCCTACAGATTCAAAGTAATTACATTTGTATTTACTTCATATTAAATGCTCAAGAATTAATAGAATTATACAACCATGAATGTATTTGAAAATGCTTGATAACATTATATAACTATTTATAGCTTAAATGTTACAATTTGTAAAATAAATAAAAATGCTATATTTATTCAAGAATTGGTGCATGAGTTTTACTTGAGCATTTTGTATTCACATGTTAAAATATTTTGTCCATATTTAGAAAACAGAGTTTAGAATCTACTCTGACTACTGTAACAATCACCCATTAGCTGTGAGTGAACTTCAGGAATTATACAGTGATCCACGCTACTCTCAATTTTTTGAGGTAAACTTTGATTTTGTGTATTAGATTAAGTTTTAACCTTCTTTAATTAGTTTCACCATTAAACAGAAAACTACTGAAGTAAATAATTTCTTATATGCCTATTCATTTTTCAAAGAACTGTATTATGGTGGTTTTATGTTCTTTAAAATTCTACATAAAAAAAAAATATTTTCATTATAAACGTTGTTATTAAGAAATTTATTGTAGCATTAGAAAAGATTTGACAAAAAGATGTAAAACGTATTTATTATTCAGTCTTCTATCCAGACAAAGAAAATTTAGCTACTACTATATGGTATATTACGCACCAAATAATTAAAAAAACAACTTAAAAAATCCTTATTCATTATTAAATATTTTTTTACTATTTAGAATAAAGTCCGAAGAACATATTATTCATGTCCATGAAAATTAAAACATATCTATTTAATAAGATTATACAAATTTACTCTTCTCATGCCAAAGCTGTATATACCAAACTTTCTGATACCAAACTTTCTATAAGCTGTTAAATAAAATGGCATATACTGCTTGTAAACATGAAAGCAGTAACCTTAATCTAACTCTAATATCTAGTGTAAATGTGAGATTAATGTAATCTTCTCCAACATTTCAAAATTGATGTATATTAACATAACACATACTAGTAATCATAATAACGCGCTCTTGATAAACTTGAATATATTGATGATCTTGACTAACATTTGACTGTCTTATGAAGATTCAAAACTTAAATAAACTTACTAATATACTGTTGAATACTACCTATGGACTGCACCTGCCTTCTTTCTTGTTTTGGAGACAATATTTTATTTTCTGAATTTCATAATCTCCTAAACCAGACATAAGGCAAGAGCAATTCAAAGAAAACTATTCAACATCTCAACACACTGCCTAAAACTTTCTTAAATTAATATATTTACAAACATTCTATTAACTTATTGATAACTTTGATCTTACATGATGCAAAAAACAATTTCCCACCAAACTTAAATGTGGTCTATTGTGATCAATGCAAGCTTCAAGCCTTCTTAAGAACTCTTTTTGAAACTTGTAAATTTCTTCAATGTTACCAAAGATTGTTGTTATCCTCTCTGGTGAAAACATATCTGGTCTCCTTCGAACCTGTCTTAAGTAACCCTATAATCATAAAGAATAGAAAAAAAGATGATAAATAAAGATTTTATCTATTTATTTTAAAGACAAAACAGTACTTTATGAGAATACATAAAACTGTTATAACTACGGTTTAAAATTAATCTTTGTAACTATGCATAAATCTATATGAGAAAAATTACAAAAATGACACATGTACTATGCCATATACATCACTGAACTGTCATATATGTAATTTAAAAACAGAGGCAGAAGAAGATGAAAAAAAATTCTTCTGACACATACATATATATCTTAATTAATTGCTTTTATAATTTCGGAAATACACTTATAGTGATTTTTTTGACCAAAAGTCTATTTCCTTAAAAAAAACAGCAATTCACATGCCAAAGAATAATAAAATAAAAATTTAAAAAGCACATATTAGTTTATGTGAATAGGAAAGTAATTTCCCACATCCCAACAGTCATAATTTAAAATACTTTATGTTCTAGACACCCTGTAAGATTACGATTGGAATCTGTTTGTTACAATACCTGAACAACATCTTCAAGATGTTTAACAAAATCTTTTTCTGTACTAATAATTTCTTGAACTATGTTAGCACGCACTTGTTCCTTAGTCAGTAGACTAATGTTCATCCTGCCTCTGGAATCTCCAGTTAAATCTCCAGTTGCTAATTTTTCAACACAATCTTCTAAGGTGTCCTCTTGATTTACTCGAAGCTTAAATTGTTAGGTACGAAATCAGATATACATTACTTATTTTTATAGCTAGATTAATTAAAAATACAAAATTCAGGAACTTTACAGTTGTGGGATAAATTTATACAAAATCATAATTCACATTTATAAATACACAAATTTTAATTTAGCTTAGTGTAGCAAGTAATACAGTTTCCAGCAAAATATATGAAAAATCTAATAATAGTAAAAATATGTTAGTTAAATACTAAAATCAAAAGTTCAAATTAACACTTGAGCAAAGCATTATCTTAGAACATCTAAAATAAAGATGTGGAAAGTGTCTTACCCTTACAAAAGTGGCTGGAAACCAGCCACTTTGATTATTTATAGAACCCCACCACCAATCCTCATCTGAAGAGTCTGAAACTTCAATCACTTCACCAGCCTTAAAACTAAGTTCCTCAGGATCCACAGTGACATGATCCCACAAAGCTTCAGCAAATGTGATGCTACTTTGATGGAACTATTGTAACACAGAGTATCAGAAAATATATTTTATAATAAATTATATATATTTACAAATGTTGAAACACATATTGAAACAAAAAAACAGAATACAAACCTGATACAACTAATGTAATACAGAACATTACAAAAGATATGACATTGTCTTTTCAGAAAATAAAGAACATGAAACTAATGAAAGAGAATTTGAGCTTCATACAAGTATTCTAATAAAAAACATTTAGGTGACTGATTTGAACACATCTTCAAATAAAAATAGTAACAATACAAAATGTTAAAATAACAGTTGATAGTACTCAGATGCAGCTTTTCTAATAGTGAACATCAGAAAGTCTGCAAAACTATCATTTATGGAGGTAAACATTAACGTATACTTCAATATCAAACAGTTTGTATGTATTAACCCTGAAGAAGCTGTAAAAGTGAAATGTTGGTAGTAATAAAAAAACAAATATATTTACACCTGGAGTGTATAGGTCGTTTATCTAAACTTTTATCATAAATATAATGATAGTAACCTCTCGATTAGCAGACTAAAGTTGAGCCAATGTTGGTTGATGATCAGTTTTTTGGTACAATATTGGTATTGGCAAAGTTATGTACATTGGTCCATTTTGGTGTACTATCGTGTAAATGGCTATTAGGTAGCTGACAATCAAGATAGGAGACCAAGACTGGGCCAATAGTAACTTGCACATCAACGCTTAGTTGGGCCAATGTGTTGGTTCATCACATACGCTTTAATTGTTGGCACAAAAGAAATTTGCATTTAACTTTTAGATCAGCCAACATGATGGTTCATCATTGGTCCAAGGTAAGTATCCACTTTTTAAACTGTTATCCTAATGATGACATAAGGCTCTGGTAAGTTTCATCCAAGAAATTAAAGAACACCAAATTAAAATATCAGCTTATTAACTGATATTAAGTAAGCAATTATATGTAAATAGACATAGATCTATGGATGTAGAAAGTTTAACAAAAAAAACAAGAAACCTTTTCTCATTATTATTATCATCATTATTAAAAATTTCATGTTATAAAATGACATAAGAGTATAAAACAAAAATAACAGAACATAGAAAAATTACTGTTGGACTTTCAAGTGTGAGAAGTATATAATAAAATCAGGCACTAATTTAATCCTCCCAGAGTATTATCTAGGATGTAATTAATCAACACTTCCCAGTTACAGTTATTGTAGAGGTCATTGTTCTGTGCCACTTCAACACCTTTGTCAATGGATGAACATGTACAAGCTTTTAATGAATTTGTACAATAATGGACTGATAATGTATGTGTAAGTTTTGTTATGCTAAATTAGTAGATGGACTGGAGATGACAAGTTATGTACAGTAGCTGATTGTATGAGCCTACAATTATGATGACTTTACATCTTATATTCATGTCGGGCATGGACTGGCCCTGTGTTAGAGCCCTGGATCTTAAGACTAGTGAGCTAGGTCCAAATCTGATCAATACCATGAAATATTCTCTGCACTTTGGGGCTATGAATGCATTAATTAGATAAGAAGTATGGTCAAGTTCTATTATTTGGCCTGAACAAGAATAGCCCTCAAATAGCTTTGTGCAACAAGAACAAAAAATGTCTGATTCATATTTTTCTTAAAAAGAATAATATGTTGGTTCAACACACATACTGCAAAATATTTCTGTGCCATATATGGAATACTTTCTGTACTGATAATTTCACGAATTCACGAAACCATTCATAGTTCCATGGATTAGAATATGGTACAGTCCAAATTCTGTGAACCCACGGAATAAAATTCTGGTTGCAGAACACCAGGGTTTCTTATATCTGGCTAGTTATTTTTCAGAAGTCACAACACAATATGATCACAGTTAGTACATAACAAACCGAATGGAGAACAAAACAACATTTCCAACATCTTTTTATACATTGTAGAAACAAAAGGACCAACAAAAATTAGAAGTGAGGAGAATAATAGACACACAAGACTATAATATCAATCTGTATGCAATAGCCTATCATGCCTAAGATGAAGACCACAGAATAAATTGGAATAATACTAAAATGAGAAGGAGAAGGATAAATAAAGCCTTCTACATCAACCTAACTGATAACATATTCAGACAACATAGTAAAGAAGTCAGTAAAACCTAGATACCTCAACTGAAAATATTCAAATATGTTTGTTGATTAAAGTCCTAAAGTGGATAGCACACCAGCTTTGTTATCAAGAAGACCCAAGTTCAAATCCGTGCTGCTACAACATACAGTCTTTCTTTGGATCTTTCTAAAAATGGCAGCAGACTAGCAACCAAAATGTAAAATATAAACTTCAGTAATTAATTAATAATTATACATAGATGACCACTACTAGCCATATACTCAATATGAGTTTTACTTAATAAATTAAGTTTTCATTTATTTTAATAAAATACAAACCATCAATGAAATTTCATAATAATAAGGGTATTCATTTATTCTTAAAAAGCAATTACATTCCATATATAGAAGTGGAACAATTACTATTCTGCAGGTAGATGAATAAAAAGATGTTCCATATAGTGCTGGATAGAGCAACTCTTTTTTTTTTTAAGAAAATTTTTCTGAACACTTGCTACTAGAAATATTTCCATAGATAAACAGAATTTTTGTTTTTCAGTGAAGTTATAAAAGTGGATGCTTCTGTTGGGCCAACACTGAACCAACCATGATCTGCTATCCTAGTAATTAATATTAAAAGTTGGAATATTGTTGGCATCATGTCAACTGTAGTCATTTGTTAACATTAGTCTGCTAAGAAAAAAAAAGTCAGCAGCCAACATTGGTCCAATGTAATGGTACACACTGATTCAACATCTCTAGGATGATACTAATACTGCAAGAAAATATTAAGATATATCTTTAAAAATATTTTTACACAAGTATCTTAATACAGAATGGTAATGATTTATAGAATAAGATAACTACAGTATGTGGGTAGAAAAGCCAAATTTTTATGAAAATTCTGTGCAAAAGTAATGAAAGTCCCATACAGAACTACTTTGATTAATGATTATACGAATATTCTTCATACGTTGATGATTCATAAGATTTCAACATAATATTGATATAGTTAAACTAAATACAACAAAATACATCAGTTGATAATATACTAAAAAAAGGGTTTTTTTAATTCCAGCTCCAGGTTTTCAATAAACTTGAAACTTAATATTACAAGTTATATGTGTTATAGTGTCAAAAATTAATAAAGTAATAAAGCATTACCAATTTAATACAGTTTTCTGTTTTTGACACAGGTAAGGAACGAAGTACTTCACTGTCTGAACCAACTTCATCTGAAGAAGCTGTGCTACCATCATAAGACCCATCACGGTCAGACAGACCTGTAAATTTTGGGAAAAATACAACTTGATTGCTATATGACAAAAAAAGATGTAAGGTATTATAAGCACAATAACTTATGACTAGGTCAAATATGTGAACATTTTATATAAGAATACCATACTTCACCTAATAAATGTTGGTGCAGGATAGGACAAAAAAATGAATTATAATAATACTAAAATAATTAGGGAATAATGCACAAAAAAACATCCTTACTAGCATTTTTTTAATGCAAGATGGAACACAAAGACAACATTAATACAACTTCATAGCAATAACAAACATGTAAACATTGTAAAGTTAGAAGGGCATTTAGTAGAGCTCATACCTCCACCACACAGTGTTGTTCATATTCAGTTCTCAAAACATACGTGTCCGTATGTCCATCATTATGAACATTGTCAACAGACACAGATTATCTTTAGAAGGACAATGAGGAATAATACTCTACATATGTCAAACAGGTTTCATCAAAATCCAATAACTTTTGACTGAGTTAATAGAGCAAAACTAGTGTGAAAAATCAGTCCCCATGTTAACAGATAAGGATTTTTTTTCATGAGCTTGCTACGACCTTGACCTTCCAAAAACTAATCACTTCTAAGTTGGGTCATAGTCCAAACATCTACCAACTTTCATCCAAATCCGTTTGAGAAATCTTGCTGACAAACACACAAACAAGCACACACACAAAATGGGGTGAAAACATAACCTCTGTCACCTTTGGTGGTGGAGGTAAGTATATAACTGGAATAAGCAAAGACTTAGTATTATTGGAAATAGTTTCCATTGCCTTTTTAACATTATTGTCCAGAAAATATGAGGAAAACCATTCTGTTTCAGTATTTGCTTCATGACAGCTAATTCTTGTTTGAAAAAAGGAAAGATTACTACAAAAACTTGTCAAAGTTATATTCTATTACCTAATCTTCTAAGGATTAAATTAGGAAATAAACAGTTATTTTCTGGCAAAGTTTTAATAAAAAACCTTTACTTTTCCTTCTTCAGATAGAAATACAAAACAAATTTGAAAAATGGAAAACTAAAAATATATAGATTGGAGTATTCCAGAGTTTCAATTTATAAGTTTAAGCATTGTTTAAAAATCTAATTACAAGTTGATGCTAGAATGAACAAAAAGATATTTAGCACCAACAATGCAATCTTTTGTGATTAATGAGTTCAATAAAACATTATATTAAGACTAGAAACATTTTTTAAACATCTCATTTTTAAATACTTTAATGGTCTATAATAGATAAATGTTTAAAAGCTATTTTGCAATTTTTTTGGTTAGTTTGTGACAGTTAAGAATATGGTATTTAAATATTTATTACTCTAAGTTACATCATAATACACCAATACAATTCAATATTCCATAAATGACTAAATAAACAACATTTCAACTAAAACTTTGGGTTTTACAATATTAACATGCTCAACAACAACAACAACAAAAAAAAAAAGTAGCTGAAATGCTATTATGTACTCTTTATGGAAACTTCATATATTTGTTAGGGTGCATAGAATTTACTTAGCCTTTTATTATAAGAATTAATCTTATGCAGTATGAAACTCCTCCAATTATATAT